ACGTTGAGTCATTCTTATATTATTTTGCACAAGGGAATGCTACTATAGACACGTCAATTAAATAGTGGAATTCTTTTGGTAATAAAACCTTTTCTTGGCAGGCTATTTGTCTGTATCAGTTTTTCATTTTGCCACATTGTAAAATAAATGCAGCGTTAAATTCTATGTTATATAATTGTTGATATATTTGATATCTTCTCTTTGGTGGGAACTCATATGTAAATGAAGGCCCTCGAGGAAACTAGACAGATATTAAATGATTATTTTATTATATGGAGTCTGTATATTAAATAAAGTCATACATTTTCTTTTAATATTCTGATTTCTGAATAGAACAAAACCTGTTGTCAGGTACATGGCTTGCAGTTTGTAAAATAAATGTTTAAAAAAACAAAACAAAAAAAACCATTTAGTATTTAATTGAATTGTTGCATTATAAAATAGACAGAATGTTGATTGCCACGAGATAAATTCAGCAAGAAATTGAATTGCTTTCCTGTCTTTCTATACAACACCGATGCAATTTTAGATGCATATGACAAACGATCGAATTAAAGCATAAGTTTACAAAAATTAACACGAACACTGAAGTTATTTATAAAATGCAAAGGGACGGAACACTAGTTTTAACAGCATTATACATTGTAGAGTTGGCCCTTCCAAATTTGAGTGAAGTTTTAGTTCTTTTCGTTTCATTCTTTGTGTTTGTGTCTTCTGGAAATATGTCTTTAATTCATTTATTAAGAACTTAAGAGCGACTTTAGTAGTTAAGACTTGCGAAAGCTTCTTTGTCATTTTCTTTGAAGGCCACAAAAAAACAACAACAAAAAACAACAACAACAAATATTAATGTTATACTTATCTCTATAGCTAAATACCATTTTGTTTCTTTATGCAATGATAATGATTTAAGTGCAGTGAAATTGTTGAAAAAACTTTAATTATTTTAGGTTTTAGATCAACTGCACACTAATATTAATGTAAAAAATACATGACATAAAAATAATTTATAATATTTTTCCATCGATAGAACACGTAGCGATAGTTGAATAAACCATGTTAACCACGAATTGTATCAATTTAAAGATACCTATTGTTTAAAATTGTGTGTAATTGCTTTGAATGTCATATAATTATCTCAAATTACCATTAGATAAAGCAACTATTATCTAGCTTAGACACAACATATTTATTTTGACAGATATATATTACTCATCATGTTAATTATACAAAACTGTTGAGGGCGTAATGAGGGCGTAATAACCATTATAATTTTCCACCTCTTGCAATTATTTTCATATAATCATTAGCTTCTGTTAACGTGTGCATGTTGCATAATGCTGACGAATTATTTCTTTTTGCATAGTTTAGTTTACATCATATTACTGTTTGATTATTCGGAGTGACATATTTCATTTTGCGAGCCCTGAATACAGTCTAAAAGACATTCACATCATCAGCTGAACACTTCGGGACACATTTTAAATTTCTTGCTTTCTTGCAAATATGTTTTTTACATTTTCCTCAAATATAGAGAAACAAGAACACAATATATTATCCCCTTCTACCAAATGGACTTAAATAGACTTTACAACTGTTTTATTTCATGTAATAAGGGTAGTTTACTAAAATAGATAAATACAGAATCCCTAAAGAAAGCCCAACACGGCAAAATTGAAAATGTTGCAGGCTCGGTTTGATTGAGCCTGTTCATGGACGGTACTGTAAAGTGCAAACTACCGTCCACGCCCCCTAGCACCAGACTTGATTACGGTCAAATGTGCTTCCATCTAAAAGAGCACTGTTTTACACTGGACAAAACACATCGGTGTAAGTGCTATTGCATTGCATTGTCATAAAACATATGTTTGATTCTATATATTCATCTATATACTTTTAGAAACTAGAAAACAATTTTTTTTTTCTTAATTTTGTCAATGATTGGATTATGCTAGTCATGTGCATATGTAGTTCTGACTTCCAAAACTTGACATTCATTCAAAATTTGCAAGAAGTCATTTTTAATGTTTACTGCCAATACATAATCTGACTAATTGCAATTGGACACAAAATATGAATACAAAATCCCTTCTTCGACAAATGTAATCTATGCATCACTTTCTGCTTTCAATAACTAAAAGCTCTTAATCTCTTTGAATTTTACTGTCAAAATATGATCCTTGTTTAAGCCTCCATAAAATCCAAGAATTTTGCTGTTGTGAGCAAATTGTATATATTTCTTGGTACACTTAAGTTTTGATTTTTTTAGTTTATATTTCAATCGTTAAATTTGAATATTACTTATCAGAATGTTCTTGTGTTTTGCAATATACGTAAATTTAAAACATCATTCCGCACAGTTGATTTTACCAGAAATCATCAAAAATGGTAAAAATAAGCGCAGTGCTTAACAAAGTGTTTGTCTGAAATAGATTTACTTTGTTGTCAACTGACTGGCTTCCTTCGTCTTACCAATGATAGACTTATTGTTTTTGAGAATAAACGTTTTATACACCGAACAATTTTATTCAGTGTCACAAGAAGTACAAGACTGTCTATGTTGAGGTGTTTCTTTGTATTTTGAGTTGACCTTTTTGTTGATGTTGTGCATGTTTAGTTGGAAATATTGAGATTACAGGGAAAAAGATGTACAATGTTTCAGAGATTTTATTGGGTAAAATGTAAATTTTTTTTTATTATTATTAAAAGACAAATGGCTGTATCGGTAACATAACATTTATTTTAACTTTCAAATGATTTCTAACGATCATACAGGTTAAAGCCCTAGATAAATGAAGTTTTATTTGATTTTAAATTGGTTCTTGTGCTTGTCAGAAAAGCTTGAGGGTATTAGTAAATACATTAAGCTTGCCAGTCTCAGACGTATTCGGTAATCAATTCCGACGTATGGAAGCCTGTTAGAAATTGTATGTGTTAAATGATTTTGACTTTTCTTTCGAAAGCAGCGATGTGATAATGTTAGGTTCAACACATGATGATATCTAAAATTTTGAAGGAAATTAACTCTGCAAATATGAAATTTGTAAGTGTACAGATGCCTGCTGGTGCAGGAAATAAGGGACGAATGGACAAGTGAAACCTTCCTTATCCAGATAAACTAGAAAATCTTATTATGACATCAAAAGACTCAATACAAAACTTATACAAAATATATCAACAAAAAATAACAAAAATTAATACAAACGTCGCATGCAAAGCTTAGGAAAAGAACATTATTTTTCTTAAAAATTGATTGTTCATTAATTTAAGAACAGATAAAAGACCAATCATGTTTTACATACATTGCATCGAATTAATTCTAACATATTCACGACACTTTGTCCCTACTGGATAATATTTAAACATCACCCACTGAAAAAATAGTCGATATTTCTTCCTTTACTGGGCTGACAGAAAGTATTAATATAGTGAAAGTGTATTTGCCTTTTAACATGATACGCCGAACATGTCTGGAGATAATGTAATGGTGTCAACCACAAACGTCTCCAGTAACAGAAGTTTACAATGCCAGAGAAACAGACGCTGCTTTATATAATAATGTCCCATTTTTTGCGATGATGGTGATGATAGTATTTCCTTTATAATGTATAATATGTATCTTTTCAAATAGTTAAACGTACTTAAATGATAATTTATTATGAATAAGTATCTAATATTAAAAATGATAATTTTCTGGAGAGTGTTAATGTAAGTTTAAACAATTGTGTATGTGACATATATGTTCACATACAAGCATTAAAAAATTATATAAAAGCAAGAATACAAAATATATGACATAATTGAAAAGGGATAAGCACAAACGACAAGTCCTATCCCAGCAGGCACTTGACGTTGTATCAACGTTAAAACAACGTTGAAATATGGTCGTGACGTTGTTCAACCAATATTCAACTATGGACGACCATACGGATATATACTTATATAGCCAATGGATATACAACGTTGATTCAACGTTGTTTATGGTCGAAGTTTTACATTTAGTTTATTCATTATATAAACTTTTATACCACTAATTTTGTGTTAATATTCCTTTATTGAATTAGTCTGTAAGTGATTTTTGTCAGGAAAATTTGCGTTACAATCTTTTTCCGTATATTCAAAATTTTAATAGCGCTGAAACAAATAAAGTTGGAAATAATTTTTCACTTTCTATTACCGCTTTAATTATTAGTTAATATGTTTTGTTGTTTTATGTTTTAGTTCTTTATGATTAATATTAAATAATTAATAAATTGATATTTGTCAAAACCCCGTTTATACAATAACGCTGGTCAGGGGAAGTAATTGTTGCGGTCTATGATTTTGTTTGTTGTCTATGATTATCGTTCGTGCAAATGGTGGCGCTGTTTGGAAAATTTGAAAACAACACGATTGGCAATTCATTTGGATTTCGAAGGTATTACCGTAATGTTTTTATTTAGTTTACTGATTATTTTCTTAAATATTATTATTTATTCTTAAAGTTCTACTTTAATTTACTTTATGAAATATAAGAGAGATGAAAACACATGATTGAGTTGATTTGACACGTTTTCGCGACCTAATTGAAAGATTTGGGATCGGTAGGCCTTGTAAGCATGAAGTTATTGATGTCCTTGGCAATTTACGATTTTACAATTCTTTAATTCTTTAATTTATTTTTCATATTATTAAACAATTGTCTGTGCTATATCCTAATTATAATTAAACCATTATAAAATTGAAACTTATAAAGTAGTTCGGCCCACATAATTTACGTCCCAAGACGATTCGTCAATATATATAACTATGTTTTTATTTTAGTGATAGTATAATACAGTGTTAATTAGTTTGAAAAAATACATTATTATTAAGTTAAATAACAACTTTGAGTTATAAAGTTTAATAGATGTAAATTTATGGGGAATAATAAATCTATTTCTATTTTATTATTTTCCTGCCTATAACACTCGCGAGAGGGGTTGGCAGTACTCAGATATAGATAGATATATTATTTTATATTCTAGATCCTGGCCCTGGTTGAAATTTAGAGTATTGCAGCTGTAGCCTGTATACCATACATTCAACATGAAAAGGACTGTCAGGTTTGTTAAATTGAAATTTATTCTTATTAATTTATATACTTGAATTTCTTTACTATACGAAGTATAAATTTTTCAACTACTGGAAATTTATCTTGTCTTAAAATATATTATTTTCGGAATATTCATGTAACATTATTTATATAAAATTTACATGTCTGTTGATTTCAGGGTGCTGCATAAAATGGTCTTAGCTAGAGCCTAGAATGTTAATTTCTTGGGAATATGCTGCAAGGAACTGACGGGGAGCATTTTTTCATACCAATCAAAGGTGATACTTTTAAATAGCTTCTTTTTAAAAACATTTGGTTGTCTTATATACAGTATTTGCTGTCAATATGAAACTTAGATATGTTTCAATTTCAATGCTGTTTTATGATGTAAATCTTAGAGAAAAGCATTTTAAGATAAAAACAAATCACTAAGTTGAGTAATTATATGTATAATTTGAAATTGACCAAGTCACTTCTAACTACAAACTTCTTATTTTTATTTGCAGAAGCAGTAAGAGACAGCCAAAGAAGTACTCAAACACTTGACATACCCAGAAAGATCTAGAAGATAAGATTGGAACAGATTGTAGTTTAATTGTTAAAATTATTAAAGTGGATTTAAGCTGCACTTGCACTGTATTTTTGAAATATAATATCTGAAGTATTTAATATTGTCTTGATATTTTGTTAAACTTGGTTACTTTGCTTTATATCCAAAAATTAAAGTATGGTGGGTTTTCAACGTTGAAATGACATTGAAACTTCACGCCAACGTTGAAGCTGCAACGTTGTATCAACGTTGAAATTTCAACGTTGTTTCAACTTTCAAATCCTAATATAAATCCAACCTTATTTCAACGTTGAAATCTGACCATAATTCAACGTTGAAACAGCGTTGATGTGCCTGCTGGGATAGAATTCTTCTACTTAGGCAGACTTATTGTTTGCCTGGAATATTGGGATATACACACTCAAGCATTTGTCTTTCATTTTGACATTAATTATACATCCTTCAAATCGCCCTTCTAAAATTACTTTCTGTTATTGCTGTGTATCGAGCTCTATGTTTTCCAGACAACATATTTAAGACAGCAACTGATAAAACATGTCTTAGTGTTCTGGCGTAATTGTTACGTCATAGTATAAGTGATATTTTCAACCAAACATACGAGTATTGTGTGGTAAAATCGCCCCAAACAATTATTATATTCCACTATTCAATTTTATGCTACCGGCTTTTTTGTTTATGGATCATTTACAGTACTCATGGTGCATTCATGCGGGATAAAACAATCATTTTGCTAGAGAGTTTTATACTGGAATGTAGCAAATTAGTTGTATACTTATGGAAAGCGAAAATGATCTAATTCTGTGAAGGTGGTCTTGTGATAATGTACAATCATTCACAACTTCACAATATTTTATCGTAAAACATGATTTAACATAGAAATTAACGACACTTTGAAACGATTGTCATCATCATTTAGAAACGTAACGTTTTACTATACAGGCATATAATGTAAAAGTATCTGAATGCTGTAGAAAGGGTTGAATATGTGTATGTTACGAGGTGAGACGGCTATTGTGACTGTGGTTTTGCCTTTAATGGATAGGACACAATAATTGCAGCCACTGTTCGTATCTGGGCTCGAAAAACATTTGAATTTATACATGTCTTTGTTCCAGCATGTGCAATTTGTAACACCGGAGTTAGCAAATATCAATGTTTCGGCGCCTTTCTTCCTAAATCGACCTTATAGCCATATCACCAAACCAAACAAAAGTAATTACATCAACTTCTTCTTTTTATTCAAACTACGTACACATTTATGCCGACATGTTATTTAATCGGTAGTTTTGGGTTAAAATGTTTGATAAAATGATAAATGGTTTTGTCAATAGCTTTTTAAACGATTAAAAATAGAAAAAAAACAACTAAGATATGCAAGTCTTTATATATTAAGATTGGACCACAGAATTCATAGCTCTATTTACGTTTCAGACATATCATCATTGTTCTATAAAAGCAAAGTATATCTTTTAACAAAGCTTAAATTTGTCTGAACCAAAACTGATGATACTCGGAGCATCAAAACAGAACCCTGATCAGAACAATCACGTATACTTTTTCCTCTGTTGCTATCAAAACGTACACTGTAATAGCGTTATCATATTGGTTTTAATTTTTTAACGAATGCGTAAAATCATTGTAGTACGTGCATGCATGCGAACGGAAATTATCAATTTAACTGTTTCCGGTCATGAATTTTGATAAATGTAAAGAAACTGGCGTATTGATTAACACTATTAAATTGCGACTGCATTAAACAGGCTTTCTATTAATTGAAAAGGGGAACAAACGATTTATTTTATGATCGTTAGAGAATAATTGTGTAAATGACATATCCAAACATAAACAATAAAATACAACAAGTGACGTCATTTAAGTTTATTGTTTTTTATTTATGACTTAACATAACACTAAAATGTTGCAAACAGTGCATCGAGAAAGGTTGTTTTTTTTTTCACTACCACACTTCAATGAAAAACAATTTAAAAATGTTAAAATTGGTATTGTACGAACATTTTGGCGGTACTGTTATATATGTGTCCAATTAAGTTCTTCAAAAACTAAATGAAATGAATAACCCATATGAAAAAGTTTTTTAAATACGATGTTTGATATAAGCGGGCTTGGATAGGCTGATTGTATATGTTTGTCGGATAAAAAATAATATTTCTACTTATGAGATCAATCTAAAAACAGGTAATTTTCAGAAAGCATTCACGTTTCTATTATTGCTATTTCTTTAGATTGATTGATGAATTTTGTTTCTCAATATTTTCTCATGCGCATGCGCAAGACACGGGACTTTAACTAGAAGAATATCTAATAAATTGTTTGTGTGCGTGTCAAGGAAACATTTTAGTTTAATCTAAATACGTCTTCCTTTCCCGTAACAATTTTGCTATTCCTCAAATATCAAAACCGTTGCCTTAAATTATTGCACGTGCTTCAGATAGTAATGAGACACTTTTTTCTGTACTTCTTATGTGATTTATATTACTGGAACTACTGAGAATAATGTTCAACACGAGCGTCTAATTTCAGTCTTAGGATAGTTTTTCCTTCCCTGTCCTTTTGAAGACACTATCGCAGACGTAAAATAACAAAAGTCGGTCGCGATTTAGCCGCATATCTGCCTGTAATGTATCTGCATTGTTCATAAATATTTTATTCCAAATTCAAGAAAGCCTTTACACAACAGAGCAAAAATCAAACCACACAACATCACCACATTAATACAAAAAAATCAACCAAATCGAAATAACTTTATTGCCTACGATCAAGTTTACATCACGAGAATAGTGTTTGTAATTTTTTAACGTCTTAATATGACAGATAACAAATGATATACGCGCGCGCACATGTGCTTGTCATACGACATGTTAGCAATACTGAATGTCTAAGTCCTTCTTTACAACAAATTACGTTTTAAGTCTAAATCAGGATGCCGTAGAAATTAAGAACTTTACTTATTTTACATGCAGCAAATCAAGTATGTTTATTCGGAAATTGAATTGACATAAGTTGTTCAATTTAGATTGCCTGAATATCATCACATCATGTGAGTTTCTTTTGAGAATCTTGATGAGATAGTTGCGTGTACTGTTTGCGTAATAGTAAAGAAGATTTTGTACGAAATCACTGAATTTGAATAATATTGTCAGCAATATGATACTTCTTGCATAGCATGTTGAGGTCAATTTTGATGATTAATTATAATATACATTATGAAAATCATATATTCGTGGGTAACGAAATAGTGTATGACACTTCTTTTCTTCTTTTAATAGTGAGACTGATTCATATTACAGTCATTACGCACCGCTCTTGTTCATTCACTTTAAACAACGAAACATTTGTTCAGAGTTATTATGTGCAAAAATGACGTAATTATGTAAAAATAACTTTAAGAGAACTGAACACATACACTTGGTGTTCAGTAAGTGATGCTTTATTTAATATTATTTAAAAATGCAGATTTTGATTAACTAGAAAATTAATATTAAATGTTGCAACTGCATGTTGCAAATTGCCTGATTATATAACTGGAATATTAAATATGCATTGAAGATAATTTATAGTTGTTGTTTGTTTTCTTTTGAACAAACAAACCGAACGTTTACAAATTACTTTATTATGAATAAAGAGATATATACACTTTTATACAATTAATACACATTGATATCATTAACTGTACAAACGTGAAACAGATTATTTTGTTAAGCATAACATAATGTTTAGCAAACAAGTCAAATGCAACATTTTAGTTGCTTTGCTCAGATTATTCAAAAGCCAAATGTATTATTTATATTCCAATTGCATCTATACAATTTTTCAGAATATCGATAACTCATTTGTTAGGACATGTTTTCCCGTGTCTTGTTATCTATATGCTAATTGTCAGAATTTTTTTAGTTTAATATAGAGAAAAACGGAATCCCTAAAGAACGCCAAAAAAGACAAATTTGAAAATGTTGCAGGCTCGGTTTGTTTGAGCCTGTTCATATTCCATGTTAGCATTATTCAATGGCTAATGTACGTTCATTTCCACCAGGGTTTCAATATTATTTTAATTGACAACCCGTTATCATTATTAAATTCATTCCGATTAAACTAATTTTAGTGTCATTTTCATATGTTCTTATTCTCATTATTAAATCATTTGATCAACATTTTTCCGAAGATGTTTGCTATAAGAAGAAAAATTCAAAACCCAAATGACACAAATTAGACAACTCTCATATCCTGCTTAAACTTTTAAATTACGGAATGCAATTTCAGTTATTCTACTAAGCACTATGATTCAGACCCATATAAAATTCCCTGCGAGATACTGTTTTAAAATTGAGCAATTATATCTATTTAATATCTTAATTCTGAAATGTTAATAGCTTACTTCTTGTTTATAGCAGTTTAAAATGAGAAACAATTAGAAATTCAAATTATCTTAGTAAATCCTTGAGGAACTTTAACATTTACATCTGTTTTAAATTTAATTTGTTGTACACTAAATATGCAAATGCATACTCTACCATAACGCTTTAACGAGAAAAGGTATTACCATTTTAATTTGAAGACAAAGAAAAAAAAAACCTTCCCATTTTTTCTGTTTGTCAACATCATTAATTGATGAGAACTAAATGATGATAGTACAAGATTATACTTAACCCACTCAAAGTTTCAATTTCAAATGTGATCTTTGCTAATTCATTGAATCCAGAAAGTGAATTTATAAATCGACTCAATTGCAGCAAACCAGGTCTTAGTTAAAAATATCCTGAAGAAAACGTAGCGTAACATTTTCTCAACGACTGCACTATTTGATATCAACTTTATTTAACTTTATAATAATAATTGAAAATCTCAAGCAATTAAAACTGACAAATAATGTTTCTTGCAGATTAATTTAATGTGATGATATTTGATTTCATTTTGCTCCAAAAGACAAGAGATTCCTAAAACATGCATATACAATACAGGATAATGGTTTAAATAATAGTCAAGA